CGTCCGAAAAGCGTATAACGATAATATAAAAGAATACAACTTCGCTATAAACAACTAAAAAGTCTTAAGTAACAAAAGCAATCAAATTATAAACTGGATTAAAAAGACGGTTAAGAGCTTTATTCTCGAGGAAGCGATCTTGACGGCTTTAAAAAAAGATAATACTTTTATCTAATTCTTAATAAAAAAGCTTTAAGAAATATGCCGTCTATTCGATTCGAGCTTTAAGCTATCGATAATACGAGACTATAACAAATCCTTGCAAGCAGCCAAGCAAAAGAGCGTTTCTTTAGCGATATAGATTAAAGAACACCGAGCTATTTACAAGTTAGCGAAGATAAACAACCTTTACGAAACGACGGGTATACTCGCGATAAAAGCATTTTTAAAAGCTATTAGCGAAAAATAATCATTAACTTAAGCGTCGCTAAAGCTCGCAAAAGTTATTCGAAACGACGAGCTGTCATTGCTTTAAAAGCGCACTTTTTACGACTACTTTAATTAATACGAAAGCTAAGTCGAAAAAAAGACTAGCAATCCGAACTTTAACTTCTTTAATATATTCGCTACTTTCGAAGATTAAACGACTCGCAGCACTTTCGGAAGTAATAAAGCTAACGACATTGCTTTTAAACAGTCCGGTAAACGCTCCGATAGCTTTAAAAGACTTGCTAAGGGTTTTAAATGCTCGTGCTTTAAAAAGAGAAACTATTATTAAAACGCAATTAAGTGCAAGATCTTTCGCTATTGCTTTAACGGTTTTAACGAAAGTAGATTCGCAAAGCCGAACCGAAATGATATCGTCGCTATAAAGAAAAGGCTTTAAGAACTTAAGTTTAAAGCGCTTCGAAAAGAGATTACGAAAGAAAGTTAAGTATAAATTTAAGTCGATAAGATTATTTTAAAAGGCAAAGAGAAGCAATCGAACGATAGCGATAAATTAAAATACTTTAAAAAAGTGTTAATAATTATTATCGATCTTAAGCTTTTTAGCACGTTCGATAATCTTGTCTTTAACGGTCTTTATAGCACGGCTAATAATAAGCATTAGCTATCTAACAGCACTTTTCTCGACAATTACGGCGCTACTCACTTTATTAACGATAAGAATCTCTTAATGCTAAAGTCAATTCAGCGCTTTCGCTTAACCGACTTTATCGAAGCTAAAACGAGTAGTCTCTTAGTCGTCGAGCGAAGGACCAAAGTCTTTAAAAGAGCTTTAAACGGACCAAATAAAGTTAAAACGGAGGATTTAAAGTTAAAGAACGTCGCTATCGTTAAAAAGTTTAATATCAATATTATCTCGGAAGCTCTTTTAAGCAAGGCTAGCGTATAGTACTCGAAATATAACGCAACTCTCTATTACGAAGAGGTTAAAAAAAGCGTCGTATTAAAAAAGTTAAAAAGGAAGTTCAACTTTACGTTTTTTAAATATAAGCTATTTAATTATTCTTTACTCTAATTGATTCGTAGCTCTTTTTGCTTAATAATATTCTTTATAACTTAAAAGCGCTTGCAAACACGCTATAAATTCTAAAAGAGCAATGTCTTTCGAGCTTTAAAAAAGGATTTATCGATACTTTAGTATTTACGAACAAGTCATTTAAGCAAAGAAGCCTTCGAAGCGCTGGCTTATAACGCTAAAAAGGTGAGACTTAAAGGAATCATTAAGGTTGAATATAAAGCATATGCTATTACGCACGCTTAACAAATCATATTTCGCCGCACGTTAAATAATAAAACAATTAAGCTATTTTACAAGATCGCTTAAGATTTATTTAACTTTTTTAACGGTTTCGAAAAAAGTAAATAATTGTTAATAATTAAAGATAAATATAATAAGAAGCTATTCGGCTTTATACTAAAGGATAAGTTACAATTAACGGTTATGAAAGTGTTAAAAGAATTTGAAGCATAAACGAGACGCAAATACGGTCTTTCAATAACTATTATACGCTATAACAACGATTCTTTAGTAATCGTAATTAACGTAATCGGCTTTATCGAATATCAAAGATAAGCGAAAGAAGTTGAGATCGAATTAAAGCTCTTACTATCTTTTAATTACGAACTTAATAAAAGAGCTAAAAGAGCTAAGAGAAAGGTAATAGAACGGTCTATTAAAATAAAAGTAGAAGCAAAGCTCCTAAAGAAGCTTTAGCCTGAGACTATACTAGCCGTTATCTACCTTTACAATATGACACCGAAAGCGAAAAGCTTTATAAAAAGTCCGAATGAAGTGCTATAGCTTTAGTTTAAATAATATTTTAAGTGGTACGATCCGGCGATCTTTATACGGATCGATATCGACTTAAAACTAAATTATAACGGTTTGGTTGCGTATAACGCTCGTGCGTACTTAATGATTAAAGACCGAGAAGCTCTTCGCAATAAAAGAGCTTTTAAGGTTAAACCGAAGAGACATATAAGCTACTTGGTTAAATATATAGCTTTTAATATATATAAAGTTTATATTCTTGTGCTTTATAAAGTGATTGTCATACGCAACGTAACGTTCGATAAAACTCAATTCTATTTTAAAAACGAAGAAAAATCGATCGGCTAATCGATTAACGAAATCAAAAGTATCGTTATTGAATTAAAAGATATTAAAGACTTTAGTCAAACAAAGGACGCTTTGTTTAATATAAAGAACGTTGTAAAGGATCGCTTAAAAAAGACGAATGCAGCTGATGTAAAAGGTAAGCAGCCGTTAGACCTTATAAAAGTTGATTTAAAAGGATCTAGTCAAAGCTTAAAGAATGCGACCTTATTTAATTCGAGCGATGCACAAACGTCAAGAGCTTCAACTTTAATTGAAGACCTTATAGATACGTCTATACTAAAAGCAATTGTTTTACGAGACGATTTAATAGACTTTAACAATTCAAGCTATACCGCTGAACGTCTCGCCAGCTCTTTAACTAAGAGCAAGGGCGAAGGTGTCCCAAGACTGCTAAAAGCAAGGAAGAGCACCGTAGACGGGCAAAAACTTAGCTTTAATAAAAGAGCGCGCAAATTATACTTTTAAGTTGTTATTTAAAGCCGGGGCCCGAAAAGCTAAGCTATAAGCCGACTAACGAAAGCTTTTACGTTAATAACCGGCGGAGATTTAAACCGAACAATTAAGAAAAAGCTTTTAGACTTTTTTAAAGCGAATATTAATAATAAGAAATTAAATTATAAACACTTTAAATAAAATTCCGACTTTAATAAAAAGTACTCACTTATTAATAGCCGCATTAGAAAACGCGCAAGGATATACGCAAGTGTTAATAAGCTTCTTTTAAATAACTTTCGCGCCGATTCGAACCGTTATTCGCGCGTTTTAGATTTTATATCGACTTTTTAAGCTAATAGCGAACTCGTACGCGAAGATAATAAAGATTACGAAATATTATACGCTGTTATAGCAGCTATTACTTCGTTTAAGCTGTTATTAAAACAGCTTAACTCGTAAAAACGAAAATATTTAAAACCTTTTATTTATTAAAAAGAGCTACAACGACACTTATACGGCAAAGAGTTTAAGGACGGAGCTTTTATAAAGCTAAATAATCTAAAAAAAAAGAATTGCTAAAAAGTGATTCCCGAGAGCGAAGCTAAGTTAAAACTTATACCTTTTAAATAAGTGTTTATATATAAAACTAGCTCGTCCGAAGAGATCGTAAAGTTTAAATCGAAGATTGTAGTTAAAAGCGACTTTTAAGACGAATCTATTATCTATTTAACTTACGTTGCTACGCTAACAGTTAGATCGTTTAAGATAATAATAACTATAGCAGCCGAATTTGATTTAAAAGTAAAACAATTCGACGTCGTTAACGCTTTTATTAACGCTATAAGACACACGGATAGCGTTTTAATCACGTGTTATTTCTTTAATAGTTTTAAGCAAAAAGGTATGCTCGTAAAAGTCGATAGAGCTTTATATAAACTTAAAGACTCGCTAGCTTTATAGTATTTCGACTTTATAAGCACACTCGACAAATTAAAGCTTATTCTATTCGGTGAAGAACCGTGTATTTTTACGAATCTAAATAAAACGGTCTTTATAACGTTTTACGTAAACGATATTTAAATCATATATTATCACTTTAATCTTTTTAAAGCGCAAGAGATTATTAACGGTCTTAATAAAGCGTACGAGATTAAAGCGATAAAAGATATTGAATAATTTCTTAATATAAAAGTCGCTCGAGACCGTTAGCGAAGAACGCTAACGCTTATGCACGACGCTTATATTAAAAAAATAGTTAAGAAATTCGAACTTACGGACGGACGCTGCTTAGCAATTCTATTACCGTTTTATAACTTAGTTAAAAATGAAAAGATAGCTTCGCGGAAGCAAGTGAAAAAGTATTAAAAGAAGGTTAGATCCGTATTATATATAGCGATCATGCTACGCCCAAATATAGCTTTTGCAGCTTCTTAACTCTTTTACTTTAATACTAATTTAAGCGCGAAGCACTTCCGAGCTGTAAACTAATGTTTGCGATATCTATTTAGCTCGCGCTTTAAAGGTATTCAATACAATTAGTTTAGCAAATCAAAGCTAGTAATAGCCTTTAACGCTTCTTACGCCGATAACGAAAAGATAAAGCGATCTTTTTAAAAGTACATTATGTTTTTGTTCGAAGGTACGATCCTTTAAAAAGCTTTAAAACAAAATATAATTACTATATCATCTATTGAAGCGGAGCTCCTTAGCATAGCCCTTATAGTAAAAGAGACTATAGCGCTCCAACGATTTTTTAAAGAGCTGTACCTTCGTTTTGCGGCGCTTTAAGTAGTCTATTATAATAATCAATAAACAATTAAGCTTATAGCTAGTAAAAAGGAGCGTATCTTTACCAAGCTTCGTTACGTCGATATTCATAATATATAGCTGCGCTAAAAGCATTTAAAAAAGAGCTTTCAAGTTTAATATTTCTTTATTAAAAAGATGTACGCTAACGGTCTTATAAAGAACTTGACTCGACAAAAGTTTAAAAGCTTTATTAAGCTTTTAAATTTATAAGACGCTCGCGCGTTAGTCGAGAAGCTTTAATAGCACGCATATGCTATTCACTTATTATATTTCATTTTTTTTATTTGCACGTAATTTAAAAGAAAACATCTATTTAATAATCTTAACCGTTATTTTATCTTATTTTATACGCTTTTACCTTTCGCTTTTCATAACAAAAGATCTATTAAAGCTCTTAGCAATCTTTTTACTTTAACCCGGCGCTCCGCAAGAGTCATAGCAACGGCGGGCGCCGCCGCGAGAACGGCAAGCGCAACGACTAGCGCAAAAGGGGCGACGATAATAAGTGCGACGAAAGCGACGGGAGCTGCGAGGGCGACGAAAGCAGCGAAAGCGACGAAAGCAATAAGGGCGGCAGGCGCAAGAGCTGCTATAATAGCAGATTAGAGCCTTTGCATAAAGTCCGAAAAGAAGTTTTAATTAAAAAGAACTGCTTAAATTAAATTATTTCAAAAGTCAAAGAGCTTGACTTACGAAGAAGTGATATGCTCGAAGCGCTCCGCGTCACCGGACTACGATTTGCTGCCATAAGATTATTCAATCTAATAAAAGCTATATTTAAATTAAAAATCTTAAAAGCAAAAGCAAAACTTGCAAAGCTACCGGAATTATTTTTAAAACTTCTATTTCTACTCGCTAGACCGCCCGGACTATTAGCAGCACCTTTTAAAAAAGCAGCATCTAAAGCGAGTTGTTATCGCATAGCATCTCGGAGACTTTAGCGAACTCTTTGTATAGCACTATTGTCTTTAGCGCTTACGAAGTTATTAAAAGCGGTGTTAGCAGCGGCAAAAGCAGCGGTACAGTTATTATAACTACTTCTAGCATACCGGAGACAGCGTATAACGCTCGTATCGTAATTATAACAGTTTTTATTAGACTTCGATATAATCCTACTATTGATGCACTTGATGCACTTTAAAGCTTTGACGGTCGTTAACATAAGCAAGCGCTTAATAAAAGGGTCTAAAAGAAAGGGCGAAGCTTCGGAGGTAAAAGTGCGTAGTATAGCCGCCGCAGCCGCCGCAGCTATAATAGCAGCAATAGCTAAAGCAGAAAAAGGATTCTCTTAATAGTCAGCATAAATATATTAATTTATTAAAAGCATTTACTCTTAGACGGCTTCGGCCGCGCTTAACGATTCTATTAAACTGAGTTACTTGCTTAAATAGCATTTTATAAATAGATAAAAGTTAAGTGTTTGTTATAATAAAAAAGAACGCGCTCTTATTTATATAGCAACGCGATAAAAACGGCGCTAAAGACTTCCGTTACGTAATAAAACCGATTTAAAAAAGAATTGCATTCTTAATTAACACTTAATCAACAATGACAACCGCTATTTGTTTATTTAAATTGCGATGATAATCTCTTTTGTTTACATCGAGTTTAAAGAGCTTAATTACTTATTTTTTCTTTTTTATTTGCTTGCAGCTTAGCAGCTACGCTGCTAACCTAAAGGGTGTATTATGCGGAACAGGCATGGTTCTACTTAAGCTATATGTGACATGTCATGTGACCTCGCCTAATAGCGCCCTTAGCACACTAGAGCTCCTAGGTATATGTACATAGATCTTGACGAGCTTCTTAGATAGAATATACTAAGCTTCATTCAATCTATAGAATCTCTTCTTGATCTTAGTGCTGGTAAGCACTACAATAACTTATCGAAAGTTATAAATAAAAGATTTAAAGATTAAGTTCGCAAATTTAATAAGATGCTCTTTACGATTCGGATATCGATACACGCACTTATTAAAGTTACTCTTTTCTTCTTGAACTACGGACGAAAAGCTGAGCTATTCTTAGAATTACGATGGCTAGTCTAGAGGTTATTATTATAGCAAGAGGTTCGATCTTGCGTTGACTTGCTTGTTATAAGGTTTAGATAATTAGAACTTTAAGACGAAGATATCGACGAGATCATCTTGAAAAAGAAACGCTATCGACTTGCCGCTAAAGCTATTTAAGAACGAGTCAAAGTCTTAAAGTCGGAACTTATTAAAGAAAAAGACTTGGTACTGCTTTACGACGTTAAACGCAGCATCGATATATCCGCGGATATTAAACTAGATTACAAATGGCTAAGACTTTATATCGTCTTTAAGGCTTACGATAAAAGATATTACAAACTTTAAGAAACCGATAAGATTGAGCTTAAAAGCACTTTTGCAGCTAACCGCTTTAAACGATTCTATTGCCGCGATCAAACCCTCTTTCTTTTTAATAAAGACGACGAAGAAGAAGAAGAAGAAGATTCGGATTCTTTAGACAACTCGGACTTTAACGAATACGAGCTTTTCGACGACGGCAAAAGTAAACTACTTAACTTAAGGGTGATCTCGGGACTTAAGTCTATTAACTTTTAAATCATTTTTTTAATACTTTCGAAAAAATAAAAATTAGCTTACAAAACTGTTTCTTAGTCTGTTCTTCTACTTTGTTTTTTTTACTTTCTTATCCTTTCTTTGTTTTACACTTATTTTATAAAGGGACGTGCCTTTAATGATCACTTTCTTTATTTTAGTAAAAAAGGGTATTTCTTACGTTTGTTCTTTCACTTTTAGACTTGCTTTTTATTATATTCTTTGTTCTTTCTTTATTCTTCTTACCTTATTAGCTATTCACTTGTCTTATACAGATTGTTTTTATTGTTTGATTATTTTTTTATCTGTTTTAAGCTTATACGGCTATTTCTTATTTCTTATTTAAAATTGTTCTTTTGTTTTAAGCGTGCTTAACTACGTGTATTCGAAAGTGAACTGCTGTTAAAAAAAGTGGGTCTTCTTTACAAATATACTTATATAAAAAAGCTTTTCTTTCTTTCTTTTTAACATTTTCTCTTTTTATATAATAATAATTATAACAATACTACCATTACTTTCTTTTCATAACTATATAATACTATACTAATACTAACGACCTTAATTATCATTTAATCAATCACTACTACTATCAGCTTTATTCCGCTATTTTATGTTTGGCCCGTGAACCGTAGTTTACGAGTCAGATATGCCTTTTAAGTTAGCCGCCGTTAAAAGAAAAGCTTTTGTCCGTGATATACCTTTTAGCTTATTAATAAGCGAAGAGCAAGCCGCTTTAGCCCGATAATCGAGTTTCGAATTGAAGTTCGAAAGACGAGTCATCAAGACTTTCGATAAGTTCTTTTAGACTTACCGTTAAATAAGCAACTCTAGTCAATTAGCTATGCTTAAGGTAGCAACTTCCGACTTTAATAATAGATTAAATAAGGAAGACGACTTAATCTTGCAATACGATTAGTTTTTGCGAGCCGAATGCGCAAGAAAGAATATAAACGCCGAAGACTTCTTTTCGGCTTACGACTAGTTTATTATTAAAGTCACCGCTATTTATTTTTTACGCAATAAAAACGCCGAAGGATATAAACGAATTAAAAGAGCTTTCGACGGCGCTCGAAAGCAATTGCTATATAACGACTACTTTAAAGCTATATGCATTTTAATTCGTAGCGCTCGCTAACTGGGCGTCATTCTAGAGAACTGCACCTTTAACGCTTACGCTATCTAGGTTATCAACTACTATATTGTTGCTTACGTCGCTTTTTAAAAGATTATAGCTAATATAGCCCGAGGACGCAAGTTTATTAAGCTTAATGCTACGATAGTCAATTTCATTTGTTAGACCGTAAAAGACAAGAACAATATTAAGTAAAAAGATAAGATCGCTATTTTTAACGAAGGACTTTTAAAGAAGCTAAGATTAAAAGTTTTATTATATAGTTTATTGATTTTGGCTTTCGATAATATTAAAAGCGAATACGACGAGCTTAAGGAACGTGTAAAGTTTGCCGACGAGAATCAGACTTAGAATTTCGTTTTGTAAAAAGAACTCGAATCCGAAATTCTACTCGTAAATTATAATTTATAAATAAAAGATGACTTAGCAATCGAAGCGAAATTAAGTCAACCTTTTGCGCTTAAGACTTTTTTGCTTAGATTATTTATTGCGCGCTTTTCGTTATCATTAGCTTTATCTTAAAGATCGACGTTATCTTTTGTTAATAAGCTTTCGAACGCTAAACTAATTGCTTCGATTATGTCTACTTTACGTAAGTCTATCGACGCGAGCTTTTTTTTAGCTTTTAGACTTAAAGTGCAACGCGACCTTTTCGAGAACCAGCTGCTATTAGCATCACTCGTTAAAAAAAGAAATAGCTTCGAGTACGAACTAGCTAAAGCTATGTCGAACCGTTGCTTCGGACTTATCGAGATTAAAGACTTTATAAATATAAACGTAGCTTTTATCAACTTTTGTTAAGACTTTTATTAATTAGCTTTCGACCGCTTAAACTTAAACGAGAATATCGATAATGCTTTTTAAGTTGCCGCGGAATTAATTAAGAAAGCTATTAACTAGATCCGCAAGCTTTTAAAAGACGAATTTTTTAACAACGCGATCTTACGACTTTTCGACCGTCGTAGTTAAGTGAGAGTAAGTAAAAAAGGAAGTAAGATAATAAATTACTTCTTGCTATCCGAGATCTTTAATTTAAGTTTTAACGACGACGATTGCGATTATATAAAGGTTTTTTAAAAGGTAAAGAACGTGTTAGAATTTAAAGATAGATTTAAAAAACTCTTTAACTTAGACGTTTAAACGAAGCTCCGCTTTAACCGCAAAGTCTTATCGTCCGCTACCGACTTGTTAAAAGGAATCTTTTACGAAGTCTATACTTTCGAATACGTTAAATATCTTAAGTTAGCTTCGAAAGGCTTTATAATAATAATGATCCGTTTTAATTTGTGTCGATTCATCGAAGCCTTTTAAACCAACGCTTTTAATAACTTTATGCTTTACTCGAGCAATTAATCGATGTTCGCTATTAAGATCAAGAGTAGTACTTTAGTTAAAAGAATGTTTAGCTTAGGCTTTTTTAAGTTTAAAGTTAAGCCGATGTCTTTTAACAAGCTGAACTAAAGCATTAGCTTGATGGGCACCGCTTAAAAGAATAGCTCTTTTAATATTATAAATGCGAGTAGCTATACGAAAGTTTAGCTTATGTTAAGAGCTTTTTTCTTAGACGATAAGCACGGCAACTAGACCTTTTTTATTATTATGAACAAAGAGATCTAGATGTATTTTTATTACTTTCGAACTAATAACTTAAGAAGAGCTTCGACTAATGCACTCTTTAACATAATGCATTCTTTGACTTAGCAAGTCCTCCGAAGCTATTATAAGTTATACTTTGCTGCTTTGCTTAATCGTCGAAACGGGAATTACAAGCTCATCGTTTACTCGGAACCTTCTTAGCTTTTTAAATGTAATAATGATGCTCGAGTGATTGCGACTAAACACGACGTTGATATTAAACGATTCGTAAACCGTAGTTTACGAGTAGAAGATAAAGTTTTAAATTATTACTTAGTGCTTTACGGCGTAAAGAATTAGATCGAAAGCTTAGCTATTTAGCTTAAAAGCTATACTTACGATATTACTTTTAAAAAGACCGCTAGATAAGAAGCTTTTAGACTTAAGTCGAAGACTTTAAATGCTTTTAAGAATATTGCGCTTCGTTAACTTCTCGTTATAATTAATGATCTCGCTACTTTTATGTCTGTTATTACGAAACAAAATGTTTTCTTAAACATAAACGCTTTTTAAGATTCTTTTTGCGGATAAGCTATTTTCTTTAATAATTACACCGCTTTGCTAAACGATAGCACTTTAAAAAATAAAGTCAGCTTTACAGAGCACGCTTATACTATCGTCTTAAGACGCATGCCGCTAACTTCTTAGTAAAGAGTTATTAATAAATCAAGCTAGCCTTTCGCCGCTATAATCTAGTTAGACTACGTCAGTTTCGTATTAAAAGCTTTAATTAAAAGAATAAACTAAAACGAACTTCGAGTAGTAAAGAAATTGACCGTTATCTTTGTTATATCTCGGACCTAGTTTTAAAAACACTTTATTAAGTATAAGAAAAAGTTGTTTTCGGCATTTAAAAAAGGATTTGCTATCGTCTTAAATGCTAAAGCTAAGATTTACGGAGCTAAGTCTTTTTCTAAAAGCAAAAGCCGTTAAGCTAACGACTTTATAAACGCCGATAAGTTAAAGGATTTTAAAAAGAGCTTGCGACCGATTGAATTGTCTTTTAACGACTTCGATTTAAGTATAAAGATCACTTTAGAAA